CCTCGAGTTATATTAATAGTCAAAATTCTGGAAACACAGGCCTCGGAGGGGTCGGAAACAATCTTCCACTCCAGCTTATTAATCAAGGACGCAGTTTTACTTTATTTGAAAGCATGACACTTAGCTCTGTCCATCTTAGCTGAAAACTCAAAAAACAGTTTTATTTGTTGTTATTTATCGTCCACCTCGGCCTTAAACAAAGTTTCTGTCTGATTTGTCAGACTTTTTATCTGATTTAGTGCTCAGCTCAGATAAAATAATTACTGTGGGGGATTTTCACCATCCATGTAGATACTAAAAATGACAGCCTCAGCACGGCATTTCATCTGTTATTGGACTCAATTAGCTGCTTTCAAAATGTAAAACCCACCCACCCACCTCTTTAATCACATAGAAACTGAACATTTAACAGTACTTCCTAAAAACCCTCTTTTGTCTGATCATTTCTGATAACCTTAAAACTTACAGTGATGAATTATACAGTGGTGGGAAATAGACTTCATGACAGTAAATGCCTTGCTGAAAATGCTGTTCATGTTCTTGCCTTTATAATTTGTCATTTATTAAAACTATAAATATATATATTTAACTCAAAAGTACAGTTTTTAAATGTAATGTTGCTGAAATAACAAAATAATAATAAAAAAATTCACACATATTTACAGAACATGTGGTTTATTTTAGCATTTTACCTCTATGGCGGGTGTCTTTTTGTTCTCCACCTCTTTTGTCTACCCCTTATTTTTTGCTGATTATACATCTCTTTTGTCCAGATGTTACAGGAACAGCACAGTTCATCTAAATGCAATTCACTTACAGTTATATATCACAAAATCACAACAACAGTCGCCTCGAGGTGCAATGCTATATGTGTTGCTGAGGGAATGACAAGACTGAGAGAATTTTACCTGATGTATGAATTCTGAAAGAGCTGTCAGCTTATTACTGATTGTCATATTATTACTGTAGCATCCCTGGCTGAATGATGGTCTCTTATACTGATGCTTCACAGAGGTTTTATTGGAAATGTTTTTATTGAAACATTCAGTGAAGACACCGTAAGAGCTAGGAGCAAAACAAAACCAGCAATATTAATACCATAACATCAAAGGAAACAAATTTCCCCTGCTCACATATAGCATATACATCAAATTTACATCATTCAATTCATTATATCACCTCACTAACTTACAACCACACATAAAAGTTAGGTCAAGGTTAATAACACATAAACTCTATTAAATGACATTTTGATTGCACGTAACTTATTCCGTTAAAGGAAACAATAACAAACCTTGTGCCACTGTCAGCCAGGTACTAATTGGCAAAGGAAACGTACATATTTTTCACTTTAAGGCACACTATTTACCATATCCTAAAAGAAACGTTACTAACAAGCCCTTTAACGGTTTTGCGCCAGTTTTCTGTTTCAAAATAAAAGCATAGATTTCAAAATAAAACCGAAGTACCTTTCAAACAAACATAAAAATATTTACCAAATTTAAAGGTCATTTACAATTACTGATAACATGACAATTTAAAGCAGGTCATAATGACCTTCAGACCATCAGATAATGTTTCAGTGCTTTCCATAGTCAGTCTTCCACTTTACTAGTAATGTTCAACAATACTGTTGAGAATACAAGTATCAGGTGAGACGCATAGCCTCTAACAGCATTTTCGCTGAAATAAACCAGCTGAAAATATCAAAAACTCAGCTACTAATGATAGAGTTTTCAATAGAGTGTGAGAATTAGCATTACCTAATAATAATCAGAACAACATAATAAGCTTTTCTATCAATATTATTTAATGGTAATCAGCACAAGAAGAACGTTTAATGTTCTCTTCTGTATTTTCTTATTCTTACTTATTCTTATATTCTTATAGTAAAAGTCAACCATCACACTAATCATTCTGTGCATAGCTTCCTGTCAATCTGTTATCATATATTGATCTACAGAGTAATGTTTGCAGAGATGCTTGAAGACACGTGCATTCTTGCAATGTATACCCCATGAAAACGCTAATATGATCTGGACTCAAGTTAGCAAGTCAGGTTAAACTTAGAGCCGTATGCCACTGGTCAGTCCCTATATCAAACTAAAGGTGATAACAAAGAAAAAAATGTATACATATTATTTATCAAGGTGGTTTACCGTAATCAGCAGATGTATGCATTATAAAAATAGTTTCTGGCCAGAAAACAGTAAAACAGTTGCACTGAGGAGCTTCATTTGCATAGCGGTTTCGTAATGACGGTAAAATAAGTGTGTATGTGTCCTTTCACACCACAAAAATGGAGAAAAACCTTTGGGTGATATACTACAGCTTCGCAAGTCAGACAGAGCAAATGGTGATAGTAATCTATACTTCCTAGTAACTGCAAACAGGATGACAACAGAACATTTCCACGTGTGCTACTAAGAAAACTGAGAAACGAGGTGACAGTCAATTGACTTGTGGACTGAGAAAATATATGAGGTGAATGAAAACTTTTCATACAAATAAGTAAACAAAAATACAACTTTGTGTCTCCTATTAGAGAAAGAAAGTACTTTTGGAACTTGGCCTGTTGTCTTAAAGCAACCTAAAGCAAGAAGTAAACATGTGTGGAACTTTTTTCTTTTCGTGTAATGAGATCATAAGATTCAGGCATGACATTGTCCCCATTAAATACGAAATCATACCTTCTCAATACGTACATTTAAGTAAATAAATAGTATTGAACACAGACATTGAATATTTTTAAAGAAGTAGGTCAAGAAAAACAGGGTGTTTAAGAACTGAGTGCATCAACTTTTGTGTGTAAAAACAACATAAAACATATATGAGCTCAGACTGAATTTTAACAAAGGGTGTGATGTTTGCATCATGTTAATGAGAACAGCACATGCTAGCATAACAGCCCCAACAAAAGCTCCATCTTAATACAGTGTAGTTTTATTGTTCTATCACATTTTTTATTCTAATTTATACTGGCTGCTAATAAAGTGCTGTAAAATAAGCATCAGCTGCCACCATAATAATTCTGAATGTGCTGTATGATTTCCCGTTAATCCCTTATCATATATGTTGGTGGATCTGTGTACCACAAGTTCATAGCATATCTCTTACCATCGGGGTGTTTGCAGAAATGCTTTCTTGAAGTCATATGCATTGGTGCACATGTGCAGATTTCTATCTTCTATCCTGGTTAAAACATCAGACGGCATAATTAAATGAAAAATATGTTGCCTTGCCTGAAATCATCAGCACTCCTGCCATTTTACATCATTACTTGCTCTTTTTACCCTGTCATGTTGCTTTATCACCAGAAAACGATCTCTTTTATTTTTTATTTTTTCACCAATTTACTTATTTAAATGATTAAGAAACTATTATTTCTTTCCAAAATAGCTACACTGGAGCACAAGGCTGATGTTTTTCTACTCGACCAGATTCAGTTTTTGACACCCTTTCACAATCATTATGCTTATATCTAAACTCAACAGTGCCTTTAAAAGCTGCTAGCTGTTTTTTTCCACCTGTAATGTGTAATCGTTTATCATGACAGAAAGCAAGGACTTGTTTTAAATTTGCAGGTTAGGTTGTTTCTAATACCAGTAGTCTGTATAATCACCAGTCATTTATATTTTATACTGTATCCAAGACTTCTGCAAGGTGATCACTCCTCATCATTTATATGCTTTTTACCACATTGTCATAAACATTAATTTAGTTTTGTCTTGCATCAGCTGTGGGGTATTGAAATTGCAGACTTACATGCCATGGGAAGGCTGGCTTTCTCCCCGTGAAATAAAATCCAACATACAAACACATGATTCAACACACAAACTTTTCACATAGCAGCTCAGTATTTCTTTTTCCTTGTAAGACCATCATTATTGTAAAAATATTTTGTTCTATGGCTCCAGAATTCCTCCTATGAACTCCTTTCAGTATTAATGTTGGTAGTGAAGGTTATTGTGCTGTTTTCTGACAGAACATTTTAAAGCAAATAAAATAACTGTCTGTGTCACGATAATAACAGTCCAAGAAACGAATGATTAATATAGTATTTTCTTTAAGTTTCATTTTATTATCAGTCCTTCAGGAATGAAGTGCTAAAAGAAATCTTTAAAGCAATGCATACAAATCAACTGAAATAGAATAAAATAAAGCTCTGGAGAGTCTGATAAAGTTATGAATGTAGTTCACAGCCACATCATTTGAATATGCAAATAACGCAACGTCTCTCGCTGTTACGAGGAGGTATTTAAAGGCTGAACCTGCCAGTGAAGTTACCGACTGCTCTTCAGTAGCTCAGCCTGACTTTGATCTCATCATGTTTACTCACTGTAACCTGGCAGTACTGATAGTTGTACTGACTCTTCATGATAAAGGTAAGTCTCTTTTCATAGTGCATATGTGATGTCATGCATGATGACATTATACATGATGTCAAAACTG